TTTTTTATGTAAATTTTACATTGGAAACAAATGCCTCAAAAAATGAGTTGGGTGTAGAGTTTTACACCGGTTCACTTATACATTGGAAACAAATGCATATAAATGCGTACCAACGGTGAACTCCTACGTCGATTCCAATTTACACTAAGAAACAAACACAACCTTTTGAAATTGTTATTTTCACCAATATTTATTATTGTCAAATTATAGAATCATGAATGCACAATTTAATAATTTTATTTTTTATTGTCAACTCTTTTAATGAGTCAAAGTGCAAAGTGCTGGAACTTAAAGCTCTATTTGGTTAATTGGTTTGCAAGGAAAAAAATTGGAAAAGGTGGAATGTTCCTAAAAGATTCCAATAAGATTCGATGAAACACTTCTATACTTCATACAAGTTTTACTTTTTTCGTAATCAATGAATCCATTACAACAGTTGATTCTTTTGTAAAATTATATTGCTTTTGCTGAAGTGGCAGTTGTTTTTGTTTTCATAAACAAAAGCACAAAACCGTCTATGTTGTTAAACACCCCCTTAGAGAATCAGATTTTAAAGCCATCTAATATATATCATCTAGCTGCACATTGAGAACATATTAAATTCATGGGGAGATATTCCTAATGTGCAATGGGGTTTTCATGTTTGTAGAGTGTGTTCAAGGTTTTTTCTCGTAGAGAATTCATTCGCAAGTTAGTCTTGGTTGAATTCCCTGATTCCCTTTTTACAAAAGGATTATATTCAAGCAAAAATTTTATATTTACTGTGAAAGTTATACATTGAAAATATCTCCCCATAAATTTAACACACATACCATTGGATGTTGTTATAGGCTATGCTCAAGGACCTAAACAAGATGTTAGCATTGACAAAACGTAAAATAATCCAATAGCAACAAACAATAGGCAACATAAACAACAAGTCCAAGGAACAGAGAAAAGGGAAGCAAAGAAAGTAAGCAATCATACAAGAGACAAGAGATTTATGTGGTTTACTCAATAAGGGCTACATCCATGGGAATCCCAGCAAACCAATGATTCACTATCAATAGAAAAATAATGTGAACAACATTTCTACAATTATTGTGAGAAGACCTATGAGTAACAACTTAAATAAATAAAGAACCTTCTCACCTCCACAATGAATAATATCATGAAAAAAAAAATAGAATAGTTGAATTCACCCCTTCTAAGAAAAGAAGAAACTCTTGTAGAAAAGAAAATCCACACTCACCAAAGATATAATACCTCCTTATTGCTTGTTTCCAAATAGCTTATATCCCATAACTTAAGTTGTAAAAAAAAAAAAACTTTTTTTTCCAACCCCCCCCCCCCCCTCCTTTATTTCCTTGTCTTTTTGTTTTCTCTGTTTTTTTGTCTTTACTTAAAGTGAGTTAGCCCCACATCATAAGGTGGGAACCCAGCACATTACATACAGTGGCGGGTCCTACTTTATAGTAGGTCCCAACAGACCATCCTACTCTCGACCATCTCCACCAATTTTTTTTTTCTTTTTTTTTCTATTCCAAAGCCATATTAAGTGCAATTAATCTAGATTCTCGTAAAAAATGGCAAATTTTTTTAATTATTCTTAAAATTTAGGAAATTGACTAACTATACCTCTAATGCTTCCATATTATCTTAAAATATCCTTAATGTTTCTAACAATTGACGCACAACTCCCTTCCCCGTAAGTCTCCATCACAAACCATTTACACTGACCCAATCACAATTCACAAGCTAAGCAAGTAAGCGCACTCTTGCACTTTGCACACTTAGGCCAAGAGCCAATGTATAATGTATTGTCACTCGGCCGGGTCAGTGCTTATCCAAATAAAATATAAATAGATGCAATATTTGTCCTTGACTCATGACTTCAAAGGCTGCTGTTAATAGAAGCATGCTTGCCACTTGTCTCATGGCTTCTTTCTTCTTTTAAACCTGAATGGGGCTCCATTTATCTTTTCAATTAAAATAGTAGTTTCATCTCTAACGTATATTATAACAAAACATGCACTAACCCTAATTTCGTTTCCTCAAATTAAGATGCATGAGCGGAGAAAAGATTAGACAAAAGAGTGAATTAATCAGACATGCTTGCTTGCTTTTCAATAAGCAAATTAACTCATTGAACTCACACTTGCCAAACGTTGACAAACTCATCCCCTTGTTAATTATAGTAAAAACTAATGAGAGTTGGTGGCCATCCTTTTTTTAAGTGTATATATATTTGGCAAAGTAGACGCCCATGGTGGTCCAAAAGAATAACAAGACAAAAGAATTCCCAAAATCCAAAGATATCTTTGAAGCTTTCAAGTATAAGACAGACACTACACTTTGTCATTTCAGACTAGGCTCAGCTTTTGAATTTGACGGCGAAAAAAGCCTCATAAAACTCTCATACATGTGGGTTAAATGATTAATAAGATGACACCAAACCCTTAACCCTTAAACCTTAAGCCTCATATAGTTGGATCCCTATACAATATACACACTCATTCACAACAAAAGAAAATACTTGTTTATGCTTTTGAATCTCTCTCTCTCTCCGCCACCGCCGCCTTTGCCTCCACCCACCTCCGGCAATGTTGTCGGAGGTAGAGGCAGAGGTGGGCGGAGATAGGTGGAGGCATCGCCAGAGGTGGAGGCGGGCGGTAGCGGATGGCGACGCTAATGAATGGATTGCAAGGGGAAGAAGATGAACAATGCTTTTGTCCTTAGTTGATATTATTTTTAAAAAGTTAACTTATTTTTGTTTTCTTTTTTAAATATTACTTTTATTAATATTAGGGTCCTAAAGTTGCCCTTATCTGTTATAATCCCAAAAGAAATTGTAAGGTATCGAGGCGTATTAGCCGATACATATCATAATGGGAGTTTTTCGATACGCTCTTATAGGGGAGTTTTGGGTTTGGTTTAATTCAGAGGATAAACCAGCCTTAGACCAATCCTTCTAAACCAGTTTCAAAGAAAAAATAAAAAAAATAATAAAAAGTGAATAAAGATTCAGGCTGATATGCCCTCATCGGCATATCAGCCTGTATTTTGAACCTTGGCTCTTATAGGGCTGTTTTGTAAAGGTTTCCTTACCTTTCCTTACCTTTTCCTTCAAATCAAACATAGCCTAAAGGCCCGAGGAAAATGGCCATTTAAATTAAAAAGAGGAGGGAGGAGGGAGAAGGAACCAATCGAACCCCCTCGAGAGGCCATCTGCATACCCTCTAATGAGGGATCCAATCAGGGAAGGAGACTCGTGTATGCTCAATAAGTCATCTTGGATCCTCTAAGGATCCTTTATTTAGATGAAACCTCACCAAGTGTCCAAGCTGTTTTGTTTTCCAATGATACTCCTAAAACCCAAAACACTTCTCCCTCCTTATAACTCAAGGGCCTCATATATAATAATAATTATTAATAACAATAAATAATAATAATAATAATATTTGAAAGTTAATTAATCATTAATTAATACTTATTAGTATAATAATTAATCATTAATCATTATTTATTTATTACTATTTTTATTATTTATTAAATAATAATTAATAATTACTAATTATTATTTGATGAAGGGTGATTTGGCCCTCCAATGACATTGCGACACGTGGCACGACAAGACCGCCGCATGATACCTCAGTGCCACACAAACAGTTGCGGATCTCACTAAGTCAAGGAAACACACTCCAGGACTAATATGAGCACCTCGTATATAGCTCAGGCACCTCGAGAGAGTGGCTAGCAGCACTTTGTAAGTCGCGTCCTCCTTGGGATCTCGGATGGCAATGCATGAAGCTCATGCCAACCGACGCTTATATAAAGGTGCCCCCATTTTCTAAGAAAGGTACGTGTGGTTTAGCTTTCACATCTCTCTAGTTCTCTTGCTTTTTACCTTTCTCAGAACTCTTCGCTGATTTAAGCATCGGAGTGCCTACCCGAAGTAAAGCAACCTGAACACTCTGATCATCACTTTCTTGCAACTCAATCAGGTGACTTACATAGTCCGACATCCGAGCTATTTGCCAACAGATAGCACCAAATCATACACCATCAATTACTATTATTATAGTAATTGCTAATAATTATTAATTAATAAAAAATATTATAATTAATGATTAGTTGTTAATAATTAATAATTAATAATTATAAATTAATAATCATTATTAATTATTAAATAATAATTATGATAATTACTAATTAATTATTAATTATCATAGTAATTATTATTAAGTATTAATTGTATATTAATCATTATAACATTTTTAATATTATTTCTTTATAGAATTACAAAAAATAATAATTATTAATTATTAATTACTATTAATTAATTACAATTAATTATTAATTAATAAGAATTAATATAATTAATTAGTAATTAGTAATTATAGTCATCTAGTATTAGTAATAAATTAATTGTTAATTGAATAATAAATATTATTATCATAATATTAATTAATAATTATCAATGAACTATTATAATAATTATTATTAGTTATAAATTAAATTTTAATTATTAATTAACACAAATTATTTATTAATAATTATTAATTTTTTAATTAATTATAATCATTATAATTATTTTTAATATTATTTTTTATTGAATTACATATACAAACAAAAAATCTCATATATGGGGTTAAAATGGACATTTGACAATTTTCAAAATTTAGAACAGCATTCTTTACGTTCAAAGTTCAAAGAAAAGAAAAGTTCATCAATATCAATATACCTCTTAATGCAATTATTGCACTTTAAGATATTAGACGTTAGAACAAACAAACATGTCCTAAGTCTTTAAGAAAATTGCAATGTCAAGTTGAATGTGAGGGAATTGGGTGTTAATGGACTTAACATGATGAGAGGCTGATTGTGATGAGAGGTTGAATGTGAGGGTGAGATGAGGGCTGAATTGGAGCAATGGGAAGCTACATGATGTAAACTAAGTACAATGCGATGAAAGCTAAATGGGAAACTACTGACCCGTGGGGGGTCCGGATGTAGTAGGCATGTTAGGTAAGCACAATGAGTAAACACCTAATAGTTGTGTGGCACCTGTCCCAATTAATGCGTCTTTCATCTAAATGTTTTTGTTCCGTTACACATGAAGTATCTATTATTTTATTATCTTTGTCAAAATAATTAAAAATAAAAAATAACGAAAAAGGAAAACATCGTCATCTTTCTCCAAGAATTTTGGGTCGTCATCGTCTAAGTAGATTAGAACAGATAGAATTTCATCGAGGGATATTTTTTGGGTCATCATCGTCAAGATAATAACTGAGTTTTGGTTTGGATGTAGAGTAAATCATGGTACAGATAATTGGGTCTCAAGGGATATTTTTCTAGAGTGACAAAGAACGTGGGGTTGGTGGGTTTTCTGCTATAGATGGCTTTAATTAAAACATTGTTGATATAGGCGATGCTGTTGATGGGTTTGAATCTTTAGGAACTGATCCGAAGCGTATTAAATTAACTGACTACGATCAACAACAGCGTGGATCACTTGACCTGTCGAATATCTCTCACCAAGTTAGCCCTCTTGGATTGAGACTGAGTAAGACTGCATCATTATTAGACCTTGTAACAATGGCAGTTAATCAGAAAAAAGAACCTCTACGGAGTAAGACTGTATCAGCAAAGTGCGATTCTGCTCTATCCACTACCACTTTGAATATAACCATATGCTCTAAGGATACAAGGACGATTACAGATCAACTTGTTACCCAACTAGTTGCAGAAAAAATGAAGGCTTCAAATTTCCCAGCATCCTTTATCAGAATTGGCAATTGGGAGAGAAAGTCGAAATACAAAGGTGACTTGGTAGCAAAATGTTACTATGGAAAACGAAAACTGGTGTGGGAAGTGTTGGAAAATGGGCTAAAGAGCAAGATTGAGATCCAATGGGCGGAGATTTCTGTGATCAGAGCAGTCTTTCGCGAGAAACAGCCCGAGGTTCTAGAAATTGAGTTGACTCGTCCCCCACTCTTCTTCAAGGAAACAAATCCTCAGCCTCGAAAGCATACTCTCTGGCAGCTTGCTTCGGATTTTACCGGAGGCCAAGCACCAATATTCAGGAGGCACTTTCTCCAATTCCCTGAAGGAACTCTTGAGAAGCACTATGAGAAGATTCTACAATGCGATAATCGTTTGCTCATGTTGAGCCAGAGACCATTCCCTGATTTAACGGTCCTTACTTTCAATGACATCTGTGTGGACTTGAGGACTTATCCCACGAATTCAATGCGCCACAACCGGAAATGCCACCCCAATTTCAGTTTTCCCATTTGGGTTTCCAGAGGCCCGATTCAGCCCCTCTTCAATCTGTTGAGAATATCCAGACAATAAACAGACTGCCCGTCGGTGCCTCTGATTCAACTTCACCATTGTCGGTTATGGAATTCCCACCCATGGAAGACAAAGGATATAACCATAGCCGGAGTTCTGATTGGGGATAAACAACAGACGTTGTCGAGAGCATTCAGACAAGAAAAGTGGATCATTGTATTCACCTTTCTCTAGACAGGGCTCTCATCACCTACTGACTGAATCGGAACAACCTCCTACAGATAACTGGTCACTCAAGGAGGTAGCTGATGGAGGGTGATTTGGCCCGACCTCGTAGCATAGGGACACGTGTGCGTGATATGGTTCAACGAACAGCTCAGCCTAACAGCACAACCGTAACTCGACGAGAGGGATCCGCTGAGTCCAACATTGGCCACTCGGTGGGTTAAGCGACTCGCCGGGGACTAGCGCCCGACCAACCTTGACTCCCACCAAGTGTGGGAGATCCCGAACTTCTCTCAGGGCCCGAGCTCCCCTTGAGACCCGAGCTCTCCCTTCCTAAGAAGAGAGAGCCCCGGTTCTTGGCTAAGTGCCCCGAGGGAGAAACACCTCGGTGAAGCACCGTTGAGACTCCAGTTCGAACTTGCTTAAGGCCCGCCTCCAGTGCGGGCACCTCGGTGCAAGGCAAACCTGCCCCAGGTGGTTCGACGCACAATAGCTTGGTAGGCTGCAGGGAGATCTGCCTGACATCCGTGCCTGCCTGACATCCGTACCTACCTGATCCGGTGGCAGGGCTCGGATCCCTTGCCAGGCGGCGTTCTGCTTGCCGGCTCTGAAAAGCATGGTGCGCCTGTCGGGTTCGTACCTTGCAATAGCAGCCTGTAGTAGCAACCTGCACCTGCCACACCTGCCCTGGCAGTAATGGCTAGGGCAGTGGCGGTTATGCC